TTTTTTTTTTTTTTTGGAAAACATTTTTTACTTTTCTTGCTATAAAAAATATTTTCATGGCATCAGACAAAACTTGGAAGTGTAGGACGCTCTTTGTTAAATAGATTTAAACCAGTCATTAAAACCACATGTATTTCTGGAAATTGTAAACAAATACAGAAAAACATGAAGAGATGGCACAGTGAGAAACTAACAGATCCTCAAGACTTACTGCAAGTTTTGATGGTTTATTATCTATTTAATCATTTGTTTAAAGCCCTCAAGTGTAACGAAGGCAAAGAAAATATTACAGAATTTGTTCAGGATGTAGTAATTGTTAATATGGCAAGAACCTGGTTTTTAGAAGGTGATAAGTAGAAGTAAAAACCCATTGCTAGTTAGCATCATAATGTTTTGTTCTCATACTGGCATAGATAGCTAGAAATAACCATTTATGTTTCTAAAATACATAAAAAAAATTTACAACCGTATTGTTGTTTTTATTGGCTTGTACTTAATGTTACATTTTCAAATGGTGGTGGATGTTGTTGGTATTGAAGTCAACATTTGTGAAAATATTATAATCATTGGAAAACAGTGTACGTTTTTTTTTTTCCTAAAATATATTGTTAAATTTACTTGAGTATATTTGAATTAAGTAAATTTTTTTCTGCAAAAGTCACTTTCACTTTCCTTAAATAAGTGTTTTTTTTTTTTTTTTTTTTCAATACATCCGTATTACCTGATGTACATTTTTATCCACCCTTGGCTCATTTCATTAAAAGTTGGTACTTTTCATACTTTGACACTCTGCACCTCAGAATTTAAAAAAATATGGTCTGACTGCTTTATGGTAAAATAAAAAGATCTGTACATCTGGGCAAGGACTAAACTGGTCATATTAAATACATGTGAGCAGCATATTCACAATCAAAAACAATTTAAGTAGCAGTAGCTTGTAATTATATACAGTATAGGGTAACATGAGATGAATTGCGATTCTAAATGCTGCAGCATTAAAAAGATTCTCCCTCTTTATAAAAGCTAAAAGTGGAGTCCCCTTTTACCTGCTTCTCCATGAAATAATCCAGAAAGAGACTTTCTCTTAATGAACATATATTACTTAATAAATATCTAACAAAAGAAAAGTAAAACAAAGAGCAATTTTAGAACAGGAGACTAACAGATCCACCATCTAATATAGCAACCTACTAAATAGCTTGTCGCTTAATTCAAGCTTAGGCACTTAATAGCTTCCGCTGGGATTACGCAACTATCACTTAAGTGGGTCGGCCATATTTGATGGAGTCTGCTCTGTTAGTTCACTGTTCTGAATGCACTCAAATTTATACATTTGAATTGGATTTTCGGCAAATGTTGCCTTGACTCCCCCCCTCCCCCCCCAAAAAAAAAATGGAGCAGTTTCATCATCTTCAAATTTCCACATATGCCTGGTTTTGTATAGAAATGCTTATTGAAATGGGGTATTGAAAATAAAAACCGGCATTTATCAGATCAAAATTTTAATGTTTTACAAGGAGTAAGTAATTTGATTCTAAGATTTTAAAGTTTTGGGCATATGTGGTAGATTGGGGTTATTAAAGGAAAAGTGTTAAAATGATACATTTCTATAGTTTTGCTACTAATGACCTAAAGCTTTCTGTATGCCTTATGGTGTAATTTATGAGTTGGTGATTATGCTTACCTTGAAGCTAATAACCCTTTGCTGGGGTAGCGCTAGCAATTTTTTTTTCGCTTAGCTAAATCACCACTTTTTTGTCCATTTGTTATCAAAATGGATATAATTTGACTAAAACAAGTCAAATCAAGCCCTTTTTGTTTCACCAATTGAAGTCAGTTTTAACATTTGGTTAAATTGGCAACGCTACCCCAGCTTTGTACTTGGACATGCGGGCATGCATAGTGGATATGAAAGTTTTCTTTGCATTAATAATATCATTAAGTAATATTCATAACTTTCTGCTGACAATGATGGTGTACTGTCATTTTAGTTACCTTAAAGTTGATTTTGTGAGTCATTTACAGTTACATAGTTTCAGTGTTATGAAAATGTATTTATTTCATATTCAGGAGTAAACACTATTTTACAACCAATTCCTGCTTCATTTTTTTTTTTTTTTTTTTTTTTTTTTTTTTTTTTTTTTTTTTTTTTTTTTTGTCATTTTCACTAGTCTAAATCTTTTCTTGCTTGAAAAGTCAATACAGATATTTATTTGTGATTTGCCCTCGTTTTGTATTTTCATCAGTATTTGAGCAAAATTTTTTGGATAACCTCTAGCTTTCTCTTTGTGGATTTTTTTTTTTTTTACTTGAGACCAACCATTATGGGACGAAATGACCAAATGCTGGTCTCAGCCTTTTATTCAAAAGTTAAAAAAAAAAAAAAAAGCTGTTTATGTCAGGGATAAAAGTCTAGTAGTTCAAACTCCTGCCCTGCTCAACTTTATCATAGTTCAGCCAATGTATTTCATGTTAACTTGTGGATGAAAGGTTTATGAAAAATGCCAATAAAAATCTATTGGAATGTGGAAATTCTAAGGAATACATTGTTAAACGAGGGAATAGTGTTTGAAAAACGCTTTATTTTATTATAAGACCAGATAATTCAATCTCTCTCTCGTGACTTTATTCCCACACACTAAGTATGCAGTCACATGCACTAATGGAAGTCTCTGTCAAAAAAATATGATAATAATATTAAATAATACTGTAATATTTCTTGCAACTAAACATGGATGGGTTTAAGATGCGATATACATCCACATTTGCTGTCATTTTGCAAATAAGACACAATTTTTCATGTATTTCTTTGCTGAGCTGACAACACTGTTGGATCATCTCCACATTTAGCTATTCTTATAATAAATAACATTATATAAGAGTTTTAATTCATGAGTAGACTTCACAGCGCATATGTTTCTTATTTCAGATAACAGCCATGCCACAAGAAATGTAGCTAGGGCAACATTTAGCATTACGTACATCGCCATCTGGTGACTGGGACTGCAATTAATGAACACACACTGGCTGCATTTGCCAATTAAAAAAGAAAACCAAAAAAAAAAAAAGAACAGAAAAAAACTTGACAGGAAGCAAGATGATACAGCTGGTTCGGTGCTAATTACAGTGCCATCTATTGGATCTGATTGAAGTGAATGAATACACTGTAAGCACAGGATAATTAGAGAAGAAAAGAGGAAGAAGATAAAGAAAATTTAATGCCAAACATATTTATACAGCTGTTTTGTTTCTAATTCAATGGATCCTGGTGGATATGATGTATATTATTGAACACACAATGACAACTCATAATGATTTAAAAAGAAAAGGGAAAAATAAATCTTTCACAAAAAACAAGTTCACACAGCTGACTGGTGATTTCAGCACCACCTGGTGGACCTGAAGAAAGTTATTATGCAATATTGAATATACCAAACGCTATAGGAGATAGTGGTTGTTTTTTACATAGGATATAAGTCACGGTAAAACTTGGATATTATGCCATCCACATAAGGCCACAAGTAAAAGAATTATATTATAACTGGTTTTTAATTCATTTCAATGTATCCATCTTTTTCATTGTACGTGTATGCTAGGATTGTTGTTTGGTTGTTCTAGGGGACCAGTTTCCATAGGGTCTCGAACCCTAATAAACTATGACCAAAATTTAAATCAACTAAAACAACCAGTTGTAGTCCAATGAAAGAAACATTGCCCGTTTTATAATAAGAAATCTACAAATTGTTTAAGACCGATGATTACAGTTTAAGTGAACAAGTGAAGGTTTATCTTGCACTGAAGCAGGCCAAATGTCTGGCTTACTGTGGACAAATTTTGTGAAACTAGCCGTATGTTTTCATATCTTGAACTGAAGCAGACCAAATGCTTGGTCTGAAAGTTTGGATAAATTTTAGACTAAGGCTCTCTTTTGAAACTGGCCCCATCTTATCAAGTGCAGTTCATGGGTTGTTTAGGTAACATAAAGATTTTACTTGTTAATATTGTATGACTTATTCAGTGAGAAAGGGTAAACCAGTTGAACTAGATATTCAGAGGTCATTATCTAATCAAATGTGGCAAAGATGTTGGTATAAATGCTATTATCACGTTGAAGGACCATTTTATATGTACCCTTGCATTCGGCTTATGACTGCTTAATTTACTGACATCAGTGATGTCTATCAACTTATTTAGGATAAAATGTCAGTCTTTCCTGTGAATAAAAGAGACCATTAACATATATTTATTGGCTCATTATCATAATGTTAAAATGGAGTAAAATTTGCTTATCTTCATATTTCTTTTCATAACTGACACAACTTCTTTTAAAACAATTAATTTCAATAAAGACCAATAAAAGAAATTTTACTGTTTATAAAATTATTTTACTTCAACCTCGTCAATCGCCCTTTTCTGGATACATTAGCAAATTTACATACTAGTGTAATAGCATCATTATACAAAATATATATATACATTATTTACAATGATAAATACAAGCCATCAAATATTTGTAAAATTCAAAAATTCAAAAGCATGGAAACCCAACCTTTGCATAAATCAAGTCAGATTCTGTAATCTACATGCACTCACTAATAAATTCTGAACCCAAGTAAGGAGCTTTCTGTTTACATGGCATTAATTCACTAATTCAGCATTTGGCATCCCCTTTAATACCATATTCATCACAAAACGTGTTTATACTCCTGGTGCTTGTTTCATAGAGAAAAAGGAAACAAATTCCACGGGACATCCTTTTTAGATCATTTGTGTGACAAAACTTAAACAGCTAATTCCAAATTGGCTACAATTTTAGCCTAGAAACTGAATTAGTCAGTTAATTCTAAGTTGGCTTGAGTATTATCCCAGAAACTGACTTAAGTCTCTTCCTGAGACAGTTCTATATGGTCCGTGTTGGACGTCAGTCTTCCCAAGAGCTGATATGTAAGAACAAGTCGAAGGCGTGTCCAGGGTCTGCTGTCCTCAGTTTGGGTTTGGACAGCGGCACGGACCTGGTGGAGAAACTGACACTCTCTCGCTGCAGGTCCGGGGTGAAGAAGTCCATAATGTCTGGCTCTCGAAACTGTGGGAAGATATAACATTTCAATTGAAAGAATTGTAATCAACTGACAGTCATGTTATTTCTGTTGTAGGAGATTATAATTGTGATTAAAAAGTTAAATTTCTTATGCAATTTTTCCTTGTTTTACCCATGTTTTCCCATGAGGTACGTAATTTTGACTCTTCAACAATGTGCCATCATCACGTCTTGACTGACAAGAAACGTCGAAATGTTACGCCTCATAGATGAGAAACACGTTTCATCTCTAGGAAGCCATATACTAGTAAGTTTATTTCACCATATTCAAACTTGTTAATGACTGATAAAATATTTTAACCTATGTTATCACATTTATCTTTGATTTGCTTCAAAAATTCACAAATGACTTGAACAAATGACTTGCATTTCACTCAGTTAATTTCAAAGCTTGTAAACTGACCCTAGTCCTTGCTTTTGGCATACAACACATGAAATCCGAATACTTGTTAACTGACCTTGGTCCTTGCTTTTGGCTTGGCTGCCGGTTTGACCTTGGCTGACCTCTCTACCTCCACCACCGCGGCCAGTTCATCAACTGGGACGTCCAGTCCCATCAGTTTGGTGAACTGGACGCTGTCCTTCTGCTTGTTGACCTGACCAACAGCCTGGAACAGTTATAACTCATACAGGTATATGGTGGAAATTGCATTGTGTCCAGAAATGCATGTAACTAAAACTGTATGTAGCAGAAATGTTTCACCACAATGTGCAGTGGAATAAATGAGTATGGAGCTTAAGAATGACAGACAAAAATCTTAAGTTTCCACATAAATCTAATTACTTAAAATGATGCAAGAAGTTGTTGGACATTATTACAAATTATCTTACAAGAAAAAAAATATTTAATGAAAATCATACACAGTACTGCACATTCCTTTTAAACTGTTAAACCATGCTCACCTTTTCTGTAACTTTAGTTTTCACTCTCTGGGATGTCTGGAGTCTGTTTTCCACTGCGGCTGCCACATCAATTGTTGATGCTTTCACTGTCTTCAGCTCTGAGGCCACCTGGAAGTTATTAACATGTTAGATACATCTCATTTCATACTGACAGATGTGACATGAACCTCTCTCTCTAATACAGTAAAATATCTAAGAGGCAATGTTCATGCACGTTCCAGCCAAAACCAAAGGAAATAATGTTCCACAAGATTAATACAAGATAAAGAATAATTTCATTTAAAAGGTGACGAGTTCAACAGGGTGTATAGCATTTTATGAATTTTACTAGTTAGTCAATAAGCTCACAGTTTTACTTATTTTATAAATATCCTGACGGTGGATCCTGATGGTGAAAACCTTTCATTGGAGGCATGCATTTGCAGTAAAACTACATTTTTTTCATCATTTTACATGAATTACACAATTGTAACTCTCTGCAATATATTTTTTGCAAAAGTTTTTATTACTGCCACAAGAGGGTCATTGAGTGACATAGGCAATAATAATAATAATACTAGTACCTTCAATGTGCTGTGGAATTCTGGCCTGGCATAAATGTTCTCTTCTGACCCAGACTTCTGTTGGAGCTGACCCTCTACTTTACTGGCTGGGTGATGATAGCCTCTCTTCTGAAGTGTCTGGCTCCTAATGGCAGATGTAACACCTGGGGCTGTTCTGTGGCTCTGTGAGGGAGGGGCAGACTGGGCCCTCTTCACATTTTGTCTGATGGCTTTTCTTGAATCAGTGCTGCCACCTTTTGGTGTGTTCTCTTCAGTAGCAGTGCTGCCACCTTTAATTTTGTCACCAAACGAAATTTTCCCTGCAAAATTTTTATTGTCTTTTACATTCCCTGGCTTAATAATTGTATCGTTTTGGGATTTACCCTGGATGGAAGGAAACTTATTATCTTTTCTTGTGTTTTCGCTTATCTGGTAGCCATATAACTTGACTGCAGGTTGGGTGGCCTGCGGCAAAGCATCCTCTTTAGTCCTATATCTGCATATTTTACTTCCAGAACCCACGTCCTTCTCTCGTGTCTCTATCAATAAGTCTTTTAATGCATCTATTTGACTTTCTATGCTGGACTTGTCCTTGGAATGCCTTGTCACTTTAATTTGTGAGTGGAGTCCATTTTTAACATTTCCATTATTATAATGTGAGCCAGTGTCATTTTGTTTAATATTTATAACATCAGACTTGTTTTTGGAGTTTCCCGTTACAGAAGCGCCCTCTACATCCATACAATCTTTGGCATTCTGGACACCAGGTGTCTCTGTCCCAGGACTGTCCTGTGTGGTGGCTGAGTCTGTACTCTGACTATGAAAGCTGTCAGGAGGGGACTTCATTTGAATGACATCATCAAACCTCACCCTGTGCTGCCCCCTGGTGGTGTGATCTGGCACTAGTGCTGTCGCTACTGGAGGGCCTGGCATATAACAAGGGAAGAACATACATACATACATATCAGTAACATTACATATTTGTGTGTGCAGCAAACTAGTTTCCAAAACTTTTATAACTTATGGCTTAAATATCTATCTTTAGTCAAATTATAATTTTCCATACATGGATGGCACACTGCACTACTTAATTTTAAATTTTATCCACAATATTTTCCATTAAATGATCGCCCTTATGCAACTTTTACTTTAGTACACAGATGTCACTTGTCCTGAGCCAACATTTTATTGTATTTTAATACTACTAAATTATTTTTTGATTTCAGGGAATTATAGACTACAGGGATGTAGCCCAACATTAATAAAAAAAAAAAGCATTCTAGTGTTCATATGTGTTCTAATCTCTAGTTAAGAAAATCATAAAGCAGGGATGTTATTTTAGCCCAATGCTCTCCCTCACCTGGTAGTTTCTCAGGTGTAATAAGAAGATCTGGATCTGGAAGTACTTTGGCAGGAAAGGCCACTCCCGTCTGTGTAGGGGAAGGTCTGTAACTTTTAGGAGTCACATCCTCATCCTCATGACCCCCTCTTCCATACAAATAACCCCTTTCTTTGGATCTAGGGTCTGCATAGTCTAGTCTGTGTCTTGCTGCAGTTCCTGATCTTCTGTGCTCATTCAGTGGTATATCTGTGCTTAGCTCAGGGGTAAACTCATAACCTGACACCCCTTGTGGATGAGAATAGAGTCTCCCTATGTTCATCATAGCATGATGGTAATAGTCATACCCTGAGATGGGTCCATGTTCTGAGGGGGGTGGTATGGGGGGAGGGTAGGTGTGGGGTTGGGGTTGAGACTCGTGACAATTTATATGAGCTGCCATGTTGTTTGTTTAGTGTGACAGTACTATAATCTTCTTACATCTCCAATCTGAAATAATAAGATATTTATCTAAACTTTAAGATATATTGTGAATACATAAGTCTGAATAAAACAGATCATTAATAAATTCAAGGATGCAACTGAAGTATCAATAAAAACTGGTAAAAACACAAATTAATGCATTTGAGAGGTGTATGCAACTATCGTAAAGTTGACAACTTACAGTACTTGAAAATCAATATCTTTTTGTCGGATATAAACCAATTTAACCTTTTAAGGATTACAAAATTATTCAGTTTGAATACATGTTCAAACTAAAGACTAAGGAACCAAAATGTAGGAGATAAATGTTAGGGATATATATTAGTTTAACACGCTCTCTTGCGTCCTCTTCATTTGCAATCAAAAGTTCTACATAGGAATGGGCGCCGAAAATGTAACTCAGTATATTGACTAATTAATTGAATGGCCTTGTGCTAAATAAATTATATTCTACAAATTTGTCGACATCTGAAGTTGAACTTCAGGTTGAAAGATGACACAGCTTTACCTTTCTATCCAGGACCTATTACTTCCATTCAAAAGTTACCGAGATTTCAACCATGCACATATGTATCCATCTCCACTTGACGTTAAACTAACATTACTGATTTTTGTCGCATCATTTACTTCATTATCACAAAACTTTCGAATGTTGAAACTTCCGCCGAACCGGAAGTTTTTGAAATAACGCGCATGCGTGGAAAGTTTCGTAAGTTAACATGGCGTCGTCACGGTCGCTCATGAAAAGCCTGCATCAGAATTATGCATTAATTCCTTTTATCCAGGTAAGTCGATTGGGTTCTTTGTAACTTGGAATTAGCAAATGATAAAAGAATGTTCCCCGAAAAAAGATACAGTCGTTTGGACTTTCTGAAGTGGGACTGCAGTAATTTTTATGGTGACCTCCATTTGACATTGGTCCAGCAAGTCAATTTTCTACAAATTATGTAAAACGAAAACAAAGCTAAATTTATTCTTATAGAAGGATACAGTTTGACTGTTTGGGAAACTAGTTGTTTATATGTATTTTTCATCTCTAGAACGGTTACTGAAACTGCTTTGCGTATAAAAGTAACTTTCTTCCATCAAACACTTAAAAACGAAAATGTAGATTTCGTTATAACATTTCCCCAATCTTACTTTTTAACAGCTGTGTTAAATCTTAAAGGATTGAAGCTTTTACATAAAAATTATTTACAAGAAAACATGTACACACCTTATGCTTCGTTGTTTATAAAATGCTGTTTAAGACATTGTATAATAACACTTAGGTAACTGCTGTTATGCAAGCCATATTGCACAATATGTGCTATTCATTCAGTAGTGGTATTCAGTAATATTTTAATTTATGTTAACTGCAGTCAGCATACTGGATAAATTGCCTGAGCTCACACAGAAAAATTTATTAAGAAAATATGTGAGAGCTCTATATAGTTGTTATTTGATTTTGGTGTTTTGTATGTGACGCCCCCTCC